CCACCAATTAGACCCAGGTTATCCTAACTGAGCAATGCTCAGTAGCAGCAGTGTGCCCTGTCTACAAGATGCACTGCAGAAATTCACTAAAGATCCTCAGGCAGCACCTTCCAAACCCATAAACACTTCCATCTAGAATGACAAGAGCAGCAGATACATGGGAACACCACCACTTGCAGGTTCCCATCCAAGCCACTCACAATCCTGACTTGGAAATACATCACCGTTCCTTCAATGTCACTGGGTGAAATTTCTGGAATTCCCTCCCTAATGGCATTCTTGGGTCTGTCTACAGCAGGTGGGCTGCAGTGGTTCAAGAAGGCAGCTTACCACCACCTTCTCAAGGGCATCTAGCAATGGGCAATAATTGCTGACCACCCAGCGATGCCCACAACTGCTGAGTGAATTAAAAAACACTGTGTACAGTCCCAGTCATCACACTATCGGAGGGATGTGTTTGCACTGGAGAGGTCACAGAGGAGATTCACTGGGATGTTGGCTGGGATGGAAAGTCTCAGTGATGAGGAGAGATTGGATCGGCTGGCTTTGTTTTCCCTGGAGCTGAGGAGGCTGAGGGCGATCTGATTGAGATATACGACGTTCTAGGAGGCATAGCCAGGGCGGATCATGAGAATATCTTCCCCATTGCAAATGTGTCTAAGACCAGAGGGCATAAGTTAAAGGTGAGGAGTAAGTAGTTTAGAGGAGATCAGAGGATTTTTTTTTCACCCAGAGAACAGTAGAAATATGAAATATACTGTCTGAGAGGGTGGTAGAGGCAGGTACTCTCATAACATTTAAGAAGCATCTGGATGAGAACTTACAATGCTGGGGCACAGTCGGCTATGGACCAAGTGCAGCTAAGTGGGATTAGTGTAGTTTCGTACTGTTGGTCAGCATAGACATGGTGAGCCTAAAGGACTGTTTCTATGATGGAAGACTCTGAATAGGATGATGTTTGAAACATTCAAAACAATACTGGGGAATTGTGAATTGTACGTACAATGTTGTCTTATTGGAGTAGTGACAGCAGGAATTTTGATTTGATTTAGTATCGTCACATATACCTAGAAAAATATTGTTTTGCTATCCAGACAAATCATACCTTACATAATTATATCAGGGTAACAGAACAGAATGCAGAATATAGTGTTACAGTTACACAGAAGGTGCAGGAAAAGATCAACCCTAATGTATGAGAGGTCCATTCATAAATCTGATAATAGCGGGGAAGAAGCTGTTCTTGAATCTGTTTGGTATGTGTTTTCAAACTTTTGTATCTTTTGCCTGAAGGAACAGGGCAGACAAGAGTGTGGGAGGGGTCTTTGACAATGTTGGCTGCTTTTCCAAGGCAGCAGGAAGTATAGATGGAGTCAATGGAAGAAAGGCTGGTTTTTATGATGGACTAGGCTGCGTTCACAACTCTCTGCAATATTTTGCAGTTGGCACTGAGTGCATGTGTGTGTGTCTGTGTGTGTGTGTGTGTGTTTAAGGCAATTCTACCAAGAGACAGTCATCTAAATGTCTTTTCAATCAATGCCAGTTGTTGTGGTCTCAGCAGAGCTCAGTATAGTAAGAAACTCTTGATTGGTTCCTGTGCAAGTGACTACAGCCTTGTGTCTGGACAATACCGTGGAAATATTCAGCCTACAAAGAGAAAGCATCCATCTCTCTTTTTATTCTTTCATTCATGGGACATGGGAGTCACTGGCTGGGTCAGGATTTATTGCCTATACCCAGCTGCTCTTGAGAAGGTGGTGATGAACCGTCTTCTTGAACTGTTGCAGTCCTTGTGCTGATGTTGGAGCCATAGAGCCAGTACAGAGGGAGTTCTAGGATTTTGACCCAGTGATCCTGTCAAAATTCATCCAATCAATTAGGGAGTATTCTCTCACAATCTTTTAGTCATAGAGATCTACAGCACAGAAAAAGGCCCTTCAGCCCATCATGTCCATGGCATTCAAAAACAGCCACCCAACTATTTTAATTCTATTTTCCAGCACTTTGGCCCATAGCCTTGTATGCCTTGGCATTGCAAGTGCACATCTAAATACTTCTTAAATATTATGAGGATTTCTGCCTCTACCACCCTTACAGGCAGTGAGTTCCAGAGTCCCACCAACCTCTAAATAAAAAAGTATTTCCTCACATCTTATCTAAACCCCCGCTCCTTGCCTTAAATTTATGCCTCAATGAAGTGGAAAAGTTTCTTCCTGTTGATCCTATCTACGCTGTTTATAATTTTATACATCTTTATCACGACCCCTCTCAATCTCCTCTGTTCCAAGGAAAACATCTTCAGACTATCCAATCTCTCTTCATAACTGAAACTCTCCAGCTCAGGCAACAATCTGGTAAATTTACTCTGCACTCTCTCCAGCGCTATCACATCCATCCTATAATGCACACAATACTCTAGCTGTGGTCTAACCGATGTTTTATACAGTTCCAGCATAACCTCCCTGTTCTTAAACTTTGAGCCTCAGGTAATAAAGGAAAATGTAGCAGATGGCTTCTTAATTATCTTTATTCATCTTTCCTTATAACTTAAGAGACCAGTGGACCTACATTCAAAGTTCCCTCTAATCTTTGGTGCTTCCCAAAGTCCTACTATTCATCATGTATTTCCTTGCCTTGTTGGGGAAGGAGTTAGGGAAGGTGTTCCAGGATTTTGTCCCAGTGACAGTGGAGGAATGGGATATATTTCCAAATCAGGATAGTTGAGTGGCTTAGAGTGTAAAATGCAGTTTGGACAGGATGCAAAGAACTGCAAAGATTGACCAAGAAAGAGCAGGGAGAAATTAAGAATGTGAGAGAAACTTAGCTGGAAACATAAGAACATGTAGTACAATTTTCTACAGGTTTTAAGAAATTAATAAGTAGTGTGAACATAATGCTGGTCAGATGGGCTGATCAGTGGCAAAAGGAATTCAATCTGAATAAATGTGAGGTGATGCACTTGGGCAGGACAAACAAGGCAACCTCCTACAGCCCAAAGATGTGCAAGTTAACGTGGATTGGCCATGGGAAATACAGGGATAGGGTAGGGTAGGGGTTGGATCTGGGTGGTATCCTCTTCAGAGGGTTGGTGTGGAACTGATGGGCCTGATGGCTTGCTTCCATACTGGAGGGATTCTATGTTCACTAGTGGACTCTACCACAAGCTTCTCAGAAGAAAAATCATCTCCATAGACATTCCAGAAATCCCTCTTTTTGGGAACTAAAAAAGATGGTGGTGGAGTAGGACACTCCAGCCAAAGTTCGTCCGCTCTGCCTGTTCTTCTTCTTCTTCTCTTCTCTTTTTCTTCATCTTAGTGCCTATTTTTCCTTCTCTTCGACTTCTGGCCTCCAGCAAGCAACAATCCCCGGCCTCCGGCACTGACTTCAACTCCCGGTCTGGGGCAGTGGCCTCCCAGCATGGCAACCTCCTGGTGTCAGTGTGACGACATTCCAGCCTCCTGCAGCGGTCTCCTGGTGTGGCATGTTGCTGGCGTGGTGTGGAGCCAGGATCTAGTGCATTCTGGAAGCTGGGAGCCAGTGTAATTGTACTGAACTTCTATTTCTGTAATGCTGGACATTTTATTTCGCTATTGTCTAAGAACTTGTAACTAAAGAAGCTGTGCCTAAGTACTTTTCTATCTAAGTTGTTGCTGATATGGTGACGTGTAAACTTTTCACTATACTCATTGAATATATGTGACAATAAAGGATGTTCTATCTATTCTATTCTAAAAAGACCTGGGCTATTCACCCTATCCATGCCCCTCATGATTTTATAAACCTCTATATGGTTACCCCTCAGCCTCCAACACTCCAGGAAAAGAAGCTCCATCCTATTCAGCCTCTCCCTAGAGCTCAAACTTTCCAACATCCTTGGAAATCTTTTCTGAACCCTTTCAAACTTAGCAACATCTTTCCTATAGCAGGGAGACTAGAACTGAATGCAATATTATAAAAACAGCCTTACCAATGTCCTGTACAGCCATAACATGACATCCCAACTCCTATCCTCAATGAAGGTAAGCATACTGAATGCCTACTTCACCACCCTGTCTATCTGTGACTCCACTTTCAAGGAACTATGCATCTGCATTCCTAGGTCTCTTTATTCAGCAACACTCCCCAGGGCTCTACCATTAACTATACAAGTCTGACCTGTTTGCCTTACCAAAATGCAACAAGTCACATTTATCTAAATTGAACTCCACCTGCCACTCCTTGGCCCATTGGCCCATCTGATCAAGGTCCCATTGTGCTTTGAGATAACCTTCTTCACTGTCCACCACACCACCAATGTTGGTGTCATCTGCAAACTTACTAAACATACCACCTGTATGCACATCCAAATCATTTATATAAATGACAAAAAGCAGTGGACCCAGAACCAATCCTTATGGCACACTACTGGTCACAGGCCTCCAGTCTGAAATGCAACCCTCTACCTTCACCCTCTGTCACCTACTTTCAATCCAATTTTATATCCAATTGGCCAGCTCCCCTGGATTTCATGTGATCTAACCTTACTAATCAGTCTACCATGCAGAACCTTGTTGAATGCCATGCTGAAGTCCATATAGACAATGTCTGCTGTTCTGCATTCATCAATCATCTTTGTCACCCCTTTAAAAAACTCAATCCTTTTGGTAGGACGTGTATCTTTGGATATTTAGTTCCCAGTCCTAATCCCCTTGTAGTCACGTCTCTGTGATACCCACACATCGTACCTGCCAACCTCTCCAAGCTCATTTACCTTGTTTTGTATATTACATATACTGAAGTACCACACCCTCAATCTAGTTGTTCCCTTATCTGCTGTGCCTGAAGTTGACCTTTTCAATCTGTCCTATTATTTGTTCTGGAATCTTTAATAACCTTTACGCATCTTGCTGTTCAGGAATTGCCATGAGGCAGGAACTGAACACACCGTGAAGATGCGGACGGTTGTAAATATTTTTCTTTGGTGTTGGATGACCGATCTGTCTGTCTGTTTGTGTTGACAGGATGCAGAGAGTGCTGAGCAGCTTCTAGCAGCCATGCGATGGGGTCTTATCCCCTCCTGGTTCCGGGAGAGCGATCCCTCCAAAATGTTATACAACACCAGTAACTGCTGTAGTGACGGGATGCTGCACAAGAATTCACACAAGGTTTGATCTTCACGGAACATTCTGATTGCACAACCCTCCCCTCTCCCCCACCCTCAGCTCTTGCCTGAAATGTGGGTGTCACTGGGCTGCACCAACATTTATTACCCGACCCTCAGTACTCTTGAAGTAAATGGCTTACTTCGCCATTTTGTACAGTTAAGAGTCAACCATGTTACTAGCACAGAAGGCCATTCAGTCCATCATATCTGCTCTGGTACTCCAATCGAGCATCATTACCCAGTGACAATCTCCTGATTTTTGCTATCCAAATAATCACCCTCTTGAATGCTTCAATCAAACCTGCCCTCCATCATACATTCAGGCAATGTATTCCAGACCCTAACAATTCATTGCAAGAAAGATTTTTCTTACATCGCCCTTGCTTCTTTTGTGTGTCACTATAAATTGATGCCCTTTCGTTCTTGTTCCTTTTACGAACGGGAGAAGTCACCTGTAGGCCGACATTCCCTCTAATTTTCTTCCCGGTTACGTGGCTCTCTGAGCTCTGTGTGTGGTAGCATGTCCGGAACTGGAAGTGGATTCTGTAATCGATATTAATCACCATGCACAGACCATCAGAATGGCTGCACATGTGAACAGCCAAGTAGCTTCGAGGAGATGTTGGTGAAGACCCACATATAAGCCAGGTCAGCATGTCAGTGGTATAGAGGACAGTGAAGAAGGTTACCTAAGACTGCAAAGAGATCTTGATCAATTGGATCAGTGGGCTGAGGAGTGGTAAATGGAGTTTAATTTGGATAAATGTGAGGTATTGCATTTTGGTAATGCAAACAAGGACAGGAATTATACAATCAATGCTAGGGTCCTGGGTAGTGTTGTAGAACAGAGAGACCTACAGGTTCAGAGATATAATTCTTTGAAATTTGTGTCACATCTAGATAGAGTGATTCAGAAGACGTTTAGTATGCTTGACGTCATTGCTCAGACCTTTGCGTATAGGAGTTGGGACTTCATGTTGAGATTGTACAGGACATTAGTGAGGCCTCTTCTAGAGTACAGTGTACAGTTCTGATCACCCTAGTATAGGAAGGATCTTATTAAACTGGAGAGTGTTCAGAAAAGATTTACCAGGATGTTGCTGGGACTGGAGGGTTTGAGATGTAAAAATAGACTGGAAATCCTGGGACCTTTTTCGCTGGAATCTAGGAGGTTGAGGGGTGACCTTACAGAGCTTTATAAAATGATGGACATAGATAAGGTGAATGACAAGAGTCTTCTCCCTAGGGTGGAGAGTTCAAAACTAGGGGCCATATTTTTATGGTGGGAAGAGAATGATTTAAAAAGGACAGGAGGGGCAACTTTTTACTCAGAGAGTGGTTTTTATGTGGAATGAACTTCCAGAGGAAGTGGTAGGTGCGGGTAGAGTTATGACATTTAAAAGAAATTTGGATATGTTCGTGAATAGGAAAGATTTGGATGGAAATGGGCAGGCAAGTGGGACTAGTTTAGTTTGGGAACTTGGTTGGCATGGGCTGGTTGGACCGAAGGGTCTGTTTCCGTGCTGTATGATTCTCTGACTCTCCAGAGCCCTCTCACCCTTTAAGATGTGAATGTACAAGGCATGATTAGTAAGTTTGCACATGATGCAAACTTAGGAGTTGTCAATGATAACAAGGAAGGTTATCAATAATTACAGAGGGATATTGATCAGATGGGGAAGTGGGCTGAGGATTGGCAAATGCAATTCAATGCAGATAAGTGGAAAGTCAAACCAAGATAAGACTTATACAGTAAATGGTAAGGTCCTGAGGAGTGTTGTAGAACAGCGGGACCTACGAGTACAAGTACATGGTTCGTTGAAAGCGGTGTCACAGGTGGACAGGGTGGTGAAGAAAGCATTTAGCATGCTGGCCTTCATCGGTAAAGGCATTGAGTATAGGAGTTGGGACGTTATGTTACAGTTGTATAAGTTGTTGGTGAGGCCACACTTGGGGTATTGTGTACAGTTTTGGTCACCCTGTTATAGGAAAGACATGGTTAAGCAGGAAAGTGTGCAAAGATTTACGAGGATGTTGCCAGGACTAGTAGGCCTGAGTTATAGGGACAGGTTGGACAGGATAAGACTTTATTCATTGGAATGTAGGAGAATGAGCGGTGACCTTATTGAGGTGTATGAAATCATGAGGGGAATAGATAGGATGAATGCATATCGTCTTTTTCCCAGGGATGGGGAATTGAAAACTAGAGAGCATAGGTTTAAGGTGAGAGGGGATAGATTTAAGAAAGACCTTTGGGGCAACTTCTTCAGGCAGAGAGTGGCGCGTACATGGAATGGGCTGCCAGAGAAAGTGGTTGAGGCGGTACAATAGCAACATGTAAAAAATATTTGGATAGGCATCTGGTTGGGGAGGGTTTAGAGGGGTATGGATCAAATACGGGCAATTGGAACTAGCTGAGTGAGCACCATGGTCAGCATGGACCACTTTGGGCTGAAGGGCCTGTTCCCATTCTGTATTACTCTATGATTCTGAGTCGCTGTGGCCACCCTGTTTAGCTTTACCACTACGATCTTGGTCCTAGTTTGGTTCAGATAGAAACTGTTCCAATAGTACCTCCTGTCCTAAAACTGATGTCAGTGCCCCAGTAAATTAAACCCCTCTTTCCTACACCACCCTTTTAGCCACATGTACTTCCTTAATTTATTTTGTCAATTTGCACATGGCTCAGGTACTAATTCAGAGATTATAACTCTTGAGGTCATGGTTTTTAAATTTGCCCCTAATTCCTGGTAATCCCCAAACAGGACCTCTCGCCTACTCTTGCCTGTGTTGTTAGTGCCAACACGGACCACAACAACTGCATCCTCCCCCTCCCTCTGTAATATCCTTTCAAGCCAAATCGAGATGTCCTTCACCTTGGTACCAGGCAGGCAACACACAATGCATGAACTTCGATCCTGCTCACAAAGGATTCTGTCTGTCTCTCTAATGATAGAATCTCCTACTACTACCAATTTTCTTTGTGCTCCCACCACTTGAATGGCTTCCTGGACCATGGTGCAGTGGTCAGTTTGACCATCCTCACTGCAGATTGTTCTTATCCACACAGGGAGCAAGTACCTCATACCTATTTGGACAAGGTCAAGAGCTGAGGCTCCTCAAATGCTGTATTCAGGATCTCTCTAACTGCCTCACTTGTTGTAACAGTTTCCAGTCCTTGATTGGTGATCAAATGTGCAATATTTAAGTTACAGGGTGTGACTGCCTGGAACACAGTGTCAAGGTAACTTGCCCCGTCCCAATGTGCCACAATGCCTGGACCTTGGATTCCAGCTCATCAACTCTGAGCTGAAAGTTCTTTGAGCTGCACACACTTACGGCTGATGTGGTCACTGTGGCTCACAATAGGATCAGCCAGCAGCTACGTCGTGCAAAATCAATGTATCATCTGCACTGTCAGGACAGTACTCAGTTCTTAGGAGATGCTAGGGTCATGCAATAAATATCGGCCCAGCCAGCGACGTCCTCATTCCGTGAAAGAAGTCTCACTCACTCAACACTCGATATATTAGATTCTAACCTCCAACATCTCACTTCCCTCACTCCCTTTCTCTAATCTCCTCCGGTTGCATAACTGTTTCTGCCAAACATTTCTTCTGGTATTGGCTTCTTGTGCATTCTTCTATGGTTTGCCCATGATTGGTAACTTTAGTCTTCAATCTCTTCATCTCTATGTTCTGGAATTTCTATTACAAATCCCTTCCACCCTCCTCCTCCCTTAGGACCCTATCAAAACTGGTTGTTTTGACAAAACATTTGGCAATTGAAAATCTCTTTGTTCAATGTCCAAGATTCCTTGTGCCCCTGTTTTATAGACCTAAGAATCAGTAAGGAAAACATTCCAGAAGTTGAAAGTCTCTCTCCTTAAATTCTCTTTTCAATTGATGATTCTGGTAACTTGGTAGCATCCAAATCCTAATATTTTAATTACCTTGTAAAACCTGAAAAACCAGTTTCCAAAGACTTGGATCCAGATTGATTGAAATCAGATTTGAGCAGCTACCATCAAGATATGGTTGTCAGCAATTCAATTCCATTGACTGGAAACTTGGTGCACCATCCCAATCTATCCTTTGTTCTCAGATTCTTGGCTGACAAAATGTTTTAATCGTTTACCCTCTTTTTAAAACTATCATCGCAGCAGAAAGGCATGTCTTTTGTAAAAACTAAAAGAACTGCGGATGCTGTAAATCAGGAACAAAAACAAAGTTGCTGGAAAAGCTCAGCGGGTCTGGCAGCATCTGTGGAGGAGAAAACAGAGTTAACGTTTCAGGTCCGGTGACCCTTCCTCAGAACTGATAGTGGCAGGGAAAATGTCAGTTTATATGCAGAAAATAGGGAGGTGGGTTGGGTAGGGAGTAAATGATAGGATAGAGCCCAAAGAGAGAGAAAGACAGTTGGACAGACAAAGGAATTGCCAACGATCAGGCTGGGAGGGTGAGTAGTTGTTAATGGGGGCTGTTAGTGACTAACAACAGGGGGTGTGTAATGGCAGGCTATGTGGTAACAAGGTGTGTGGGGTGGGGGGGCTGGGACATGGGAGAGTTTAGGCCCTAAAATTATTGAACTCAATATTCAGTCCAGAGGGCTGTAGGGTCCCCAAGCAGAAAATGAGGTGTTGTTCCTCCAGCTTTCATTGGGATTCACTGGAACACTGTAGCAAGCCGGAGACAAAGATGTTGGCCAGGGAGCAAGGTGGTGCATTGAAGTGGCAGGCAACACGTAGTTCAGAGTCATTTTTGCGAGCAGAACGTAGATGTTCTGCAAAGTGGTTGCCAAGTCTACGCTTCGTTTCCCCAATGTAGAGGAGACCACATTGTGAGCAGCAAATGCAGCAGACTAGATTCTGGGAAGTGCAGGTGAAGTATTGCTTTACCTGGAAGGTATGTTTGGCCCTTGGTTACTGGGGAGGGAGGAGGTAAAGGGGCAGGTGTTGCACCTTCGCCGGTTACAGGGGAAGGTGCCGTGGGGAGGTGTTGGGGGTGAAGGAAGTGTGGACCAGGGTGTCCCGAAAGGAACGGTCCCTGCGGAAGGCGGACAAGGGAGGGGAGGGGAATATGTGTCTGGTGGCGGCATCTTGCTGGAGGTGGCAGAAATGGCGTCTGATGATCTTTTGGATGTGGATGCTGGTGGGATGGTAGGTAAGGACAAGGGGATGTTGGGCATGTCTTTTGTGTTGGGTAAGTGTATCAGTATTATGGAGATATAGTTTTGATTCTGAATCATAGCTGAGATAATAAGCAGAATTTGCCACTTGTTTTGAAAATATGTTTTACTTCTGTTTTTATTTATTCACTCATGGGACATAAATGACACTGGTTGGGTCGGCATTTATTGCCTGGCCTTAGTTGCTCTTAAGAATGAACTGATGATTATAAGCTCATCAAACTTAAGTTAAGTTCTCTTTTATTTGAACAGTACAAAAGAGTGAAGCAATTTGCTATTTTTATGATTGAAGCAATAAATTTTCAGTTTAACATTTTTTTAACCTGATTACTTTCTAGAATTGAATAAGATGAATCTTAACTGATTTATATAATCATTGCTTATGAAATTAACTCTACCTCATTCCCAGCTGGAACATCATGTGGATTTACAGGCTAACTCATCATATTCAAATTTTCCCATAATAGCCTTTTCTTTCAGTCCCTTAACCAAAAGCCCAAGGTACCCAACCAACAGATGCTAACCAACCATTTCCGTTAATCGCTGCCACTACTGATATTGGCCAGACATCCTACTTAGCATTGTAAGGATGGGTGGTTAGACCATCTGTATCAATCGATCCTTTGTACCAGGCATATAGTCCATTACATTATCACTCCAACTGATGAATCTAACTCTCTACTGCCGCTTCTTGTGCTCCTTTCCTGCACGATAAATGAGGCAAGTCAGGTATTTATTAATAGCATTGGAATTATAATTAGGGCATGGGAGATAATCCGGATCCAGGGGTGTATTTGTACGTTTCAGCCCCAGTTCCACAAATCCTCCCACTACACAGAAGCATCAATCTGATCAATATATTCTTTTAAGGTTCAGGTTTGTGGCTGAAGAGTGAACCATGTTCTGTGTAACTTTTCAGCCTGTTTCTGAATCACTGTTGGTGTTCAGGTAAGAAGCGGATTTCATAAGAATACTGGTTCAAATACTGTGTCAAATTATCCTTCTAATTCTCTGTGACCTGTAGGTCAGCTCTGTCTTTCTTATATTTTTCCACTCATTTCACACTCCCTATTCTTGCTGGGAATCATGGATCAAAGCATACAGTATGATTGGCTATGAAGCATCATCGATTTTTCCCATATTGAAAATGCTGCTGCCATGTAGTACTGTAATACCTCCCCTTGCCCAAGTTTGTAATATGCATCAATTCTTTGCTTCCTGTAGCATTAAACCCACACTTTGTCGCTTCTGTTTCGTAGACATGATGGGCACACATTGCTGCGTCGGTCTCTATTTTACACCCATCTAGCCTAGTCTTAGTGATATTTCTTTCCATCTCTATAGCATATACCTGGCAGATGAATTTCAATGCAGAAAATGTGAGGTAATGCATTTTGATAGAAGAAACAAGGAGACAACTTTGAGGAGAGCAGAGCAACATTGGAGCTCATGTGCATAAATCTCTGACGGTGGCTAAGCAAGTTGAGACAGCTATTGACAAGTTTAAAGGATCCTCGTGTATGTGTCAAAGACCAGAGGGCATAATCTTAAGGTGAGGAGCAAGCAGTTTAGAGTAGACTTGAGAAAGTTATTTTTTCTCCTCAAGTGTGCTGGACTTGAGAAAGATTTGAGAAAGTTATTTTTTCTCCTCAAGGGTGCTGGACACATGGAATGTACTGCCTGCCAAACAGTGTGGTTAGGCAGGTACTCTTGCAACATTTAAAAAACGTCTGAATGAGCACGTAAAATGCCAGGGCATAGTCAGCTATGGACCAAGTGCAGGTAAATGGTATTAGTGTTTGTTGATTGGCATAGACATGGTGGACCAAAGGGCCTGTTTCTATGCTGTATGTAGAAGCATAGAGTATAAACGCAAGGATAACCATGGGAGTAGTAATGTCCCAAAAAACATGAAAGCAAGGAAGTGATGCAACACATTCTTTCCCATCACATCATAACAAATAAAACAGAGTTTTGTTCCCCTGGTGTTTAGCTGGGGGAAATTCAGTCTCATTCATGAACAGGTGTCAATAATATATTGCAAAATACAGGGCAATTTGCTCTCTACATTACCTTTGAATGCTCCGAGGACAGGTACAGCATGGGGTTGGATATGCTGTCTTACGTACAGCATTAGATACTGAGTAAAGTATCCTCTGCATCAAACCATTAAGATTTTCTCTAGCACCTTCTGTTTTTGTTGGAGTCTGATTATTAAGTTTCCTGGTGCTTAATTGTTAATTGGGGATGATTCTAGTGCAATTGCATTCATTCCAAACTGGATTGAAATCACACAAACTCACATCATGTCTTACAATGAACAGAATGAAAATTTGGTCTGGATTCAAAACCATGCTTACAGTGAGGTGACCACCTATCTGATGGATCACAGTCTGTGATATTTACAGGCAGATACAGTTGCTGTTCTACAGGTTTCAACACTTCCCATACCGTAATATACAGCATTTAAAAATAGGCATCATGAATGCATGTTTTGAAGTTTCCAAGACTTTAATATAAAGTGATATATAAAGTATTTACATCATATACTCATCGCTGTACACATTGCAACATGGTGAGCTTGACCCGGCCCAAGAGCAGCATCTGTGAATCTACACATATCTTTCGCTGATTTGGTTGATGCAGGAATTGCTGTAACATTTAAACTACACTAAAAAGGGATGACAAAAGTAAAGATTGATTTTAATACATTGGTAGCTACCAAAACATTATTAATATACCTGAACTTAGTTTCATTGCAATAAATTAAACTGTAATTAGACTGGCTTTTTTAATCATCTCGTGTTAAGCTGTCACAGTCAATACTCAATTACAAAATTAATTTGAGCTTAAACTTGAGGATATTTTATCAGGAAGTATATTTATGTTTTTTTTACTTGTTGCAAAAATGAAACAGAATTTAGTGATCAGAAGAAAAGAAATATTATTTCATTAATTAAATACACCACTGTAATCAGTGGTCAATAGTAACTATTTGGCTGAGAATGGGCTTCAAGTGCTTTCATATTACATTTCTTCAGAATCTGATCTGTGAAAAAGAAACAGTGATGAAGATATGAACACACCAGAATCAATTAGGATGAAATGACTCATCCAAGCATTCCATCTTCTAGGCTATACATTCACTCTGTGGTATTTAATTGAAAAGTGTTCCCTGGTACTGAAAGTGCCTCAGTACAGGAGCATCTGATTCTGTTCTCAATCAATGTGACTAGATGTGTTTTCACTTTTCTTTTAGATTCATTCAGGAAACAAGTGACTGAACATTAGACCTTACACACATTTTAAATTTAGATACCATGTCACCGTTGAGTGTCACAAAATTTTGATGTTAACACAACTGCGTGTCCTGATACAGCATATCCTGCCAACCAGACAATTAATTTGTAACCGTTCCTAAATCAAAAGGCCCAAAGAAGGCAACAGGAAAAATGGCTAAAAAAAAATTACCAGAACAAGCAGGAAAGACATAGCTAAACTGGAAAGTGTGCAAAGAAGATTTACGAGAATGTTGCCAGGACCAGTAGGTTATAGGGAGAGGTTGGCCAGGATAGGACTTTATTCCTTGGAATGTAGGAGAAAGAGGGGTGACCTTATTGAGGTGTATAAAATCATAAGGGCATAGGTATGATGAATGCCTATAGTCTTTTTCCCAGAGATGGGGAATTGAAATCTAGAGGGCGTAGGTTTAAAGTGAGACGGGAAAGATTTAAGAAAGACCTGAGGGGCAATTTCTTTACGCAGAGAGTGGTGTGTATATGGAATGGGCTGCCAGAGAAAGTAGTTTAGGCAGGTACAATAGCAACATTTAAAAAAAATTTGGATAGGTACATGGATGAAAATAGTTTAGAGGAATATGGATTAAACTTGGGCAAATTGGAACTAGCTGAGTGGACACCATGGTCAGCATGGACCAGTTTGGGCCAAAAGGCCTGTTTCCATGCTGTATTACTCAATGGCTTGATGCTCCAGATCATCATTTGGATTACTGGGGATTAAACAGAAAACTTATTTCAGAAAAATAATTTGGGGACACCAGGCTAGAGTATATTGATACCGCATAACACTAACTCATATCAACCCAGACCTTGTCCAGCCAAACATTCCAGCTCCTGCATGTTGGAAGTGGAGACTCTGGAATATGTTCAGTAATTCTCACTTCACATGCTGGCAGTCACTCTCTCAGAAATACACCATTAACAAGGAGACCCAGCACCAGCTTAGCTGCATCAGATCAGCCTTCACTAAGCTTTGGCATGGAGTGTCTTGACAAACACATCTGTAAGTCAACTGATGCCCAAATGTGCAAAGCAAGTTCCTATGCTGTATTGTTCTATGTTCTATAATTTGTTATCACTACATTCTAGATCTAGACTGTATCAGTGACACTTTTAACAGGTTTAACGAAATTCTAGAGCAATGCCTCTGCTGAATTCTCCAGATTCAATCTCCAGATTCATCAAACAAAATTGCATGCCATGGCTATTTAGGCAAATTCCTGCAAAATCAACCATGGAGTATCAGACATTATCCATAAGTTGAAAAACATCTTCCCTGCCAGGTCATGTTTTGTCTAGACTCATCTGATCAGATAAGATGAATGACAAGGGTCTTTTCTCTAGGATGGGGGAGTTCAAAACTAAGAGGCACATTTTTCAAGTGAAAGAAGAATTTAAAAAGGCCACAAGGGGCAACATTTTATTAAAACACAGAGAGTGGTTCATGTGTGGAATGAACTGCCAGAGGATGCAGGTACAGTTAAAACATTTAAAAGGCATTTGGATAAGCTCATGAATAAGAAATGTTTGGAGAGATATGGGCCGAGTGCAGGTAGGTGGGTCTAGTTCAGTTTGGGAACATGGTTGGCATGGACTGGCTGGACTGAAGGATCTGTTTTTACGCTGTAGGACTCTATGAGAATGACTCTATAATGTTAGGGATCAAGTAAAAGCTTCAAAAATACCCTGAACATCCTTGAACCATGGCAGTATTAACATCAATGACCAAGAGGAGCTCGCTATCAATCATTCAAACTGACAATGGCTTGTATATCAAGCTGCAACAAACTTTGAATCCCAATGCCCTAATGGTGAGGCACAGCAGCTGCAGAGAAGAAAGCAAATCTTGCATTCTAGATTCCTTACTTTGTATGCCATCTTGTCACATGAACACAAAGATTTGCAGATTCAGAATCTGCCTCTTCAGTCAAATGAAATATTGCAGAAATCTGTGACCCTGATTAGATCTCATCCTCAAATCAAGAGACAGCCATGCCTACCGACAACAATACCAGCTCTATCCCAGTGCCCTGGACATGAGATACTGTTGCTACACCAGCTTTATCCCAATATCCAGGACATAAGACACTGCTCTATTCCAGCTTCGAGGGCAAAAACACCACATCATCAACTATTTTCCCATGCCTCTACCTGTATGTTTCAGAACATGTCTCACCTACTATTTCAGACTGGTAGTTTGAGAGTTAAATACAGCCTTAAATAATCAGAACACATACGTGCCATAAATGACACACATGTAGAACTTCTCCCATTTTGCATTTTGTTTGATTATAAAAAATTGTTTTATGCCTTAAATTCACTTTAAAAAGAGTTCTGATCGCAACATTACTTTTTCAGAATGAGGCACTTTATCCGAAGCAGTGACTTACATTCAAATGAGAAAAAACATTACTGCAAGCTAAAATCTCAGTTAAATTAGTTGCATTAATGTCTCGATAAATGTAGGCAAATATGCTACAAATTTTATATAAAGATTTACATGAATGAACTATGAATAGGCATCTAAAAATTAGTGTATCAAATGTCTAATTTTCCAAATGATTAAGTTTAGCAATAAAATGTTACAGGAAACACCAGCCGTGGATAGATGTAAACTGAGTCCCTAATAAATGCATTAGGTGAAATGTGCTGCTTAATTTAAATATCAGCATCAGTTTTATGCTAGCAAATCCAGCAAATTCATGATTAAGAATTAGCCTGTGAGACATGTTTAGTGGTTGCGGGATAAAAATTGATCTTCAGCTCCTTAAGCCAATTTTATACAGGCTGAACAGAGAGAAAAAAAATCACAATTCAGATAAATCAACTAAAAATTACCAAGCAGATCAGCAGCACTCATATCTAGTGCTCACACCAGTTGCATTTCTCCAAGACTAGAACCAGAAAAAAAGTTGAAATGCAGCTGGTAAAAGAATTTTAAAATCACATTTTAATAGTACTGACCTTCCATGGCAGCAGTCCCTGTCTTATGCATTGCTTTAGGTTTAAATTTGGTTCCAAACACTTTATTTCACTCCAAAAAAATTTGACTCTTAGCATTCAGTCTCCAAACTTATATTGACTTTGAAATCTTTAAAGTTAATGTGTTATGGATTAATTTTTTTCATTTTAAGTGATTAAAAATAGCTTCAGCAAATGAAGCATTAAATATTTCAAGCTGGTAACTGGTTTCAGAACCAGATACTATTTTCAATAATGAACTTCAGGATTATTCAAACACAGAGAATGTTGGAGAAACTCAGCAGGCCTGGCAGCATCTGTGGGAACAGAATTAGACTAACCATTTAAGTCTGGAATGACTTCTTCAGAACCAGTTCAAAAAACTAGACTCAGAAATTTAACCGTTTCTCTCTCCACACATGCTGCCAGACCCACTGAGTTTCTTCAGCATTCTCTGTGTTTATTACAGATTTCCAGCATTTGAGGCATTTTGCCTTTGTTCACGGTTATTGATTCTGACACGATTCCTTTCTAAGTTATTGATGTAAAAACAATGCACATGCTAATTTTTACAGAAACAGGGAGTTGATCATTAAGTTTATAAACAGATTAGTATTGCACTTTAGGCGGAAGCTTTGTCTACACTGTCTGCCATCAAACACACCCAGGACAGGTATAGCACAGGGTTAGATACAGAGTAAAGATCCCTCTACCCTGTCTCCATCAAACACTCCCAAGGCAGGCACAAAACTGGGTGAAGATAGAATAATGCACGTTCTGCTCTAACAATATGCCTCAAGTCCAAATTCGAAAGATTTGCAGCAGCCATGTAATGTGTTTATTTTGCACACAAACCATGCCACTATTTATAATGTTACAGTTGCCAAAATGTTTTGAAATATGACAGGTACAGTAAAAATACATTAAAAGTGAAACCTCAATAAACATTAATGTCATCAATTAATTAATATTTGTCTGTCAGAGCAGATATGGGTTAGGAACATTATTACAAAATAGTTTTAAATGGTTGAATGTTTTTGATCAGAACACACAGGCAACATATATCTCCAATGCTCTGTCAGTGAGCTTCGCAAAGCAAAGTCCCAAAAGAGATGATCTGGATTCGAAATTGAATACTTTGTTGCAGTTGAGAATCATAGCCCATTAAGAAACTGTGCTGCACAGTAGCTCTCATTTTGTCCCACAGAAATTCCGATCTTGAATCAGTTAATAAAACCCAACTGATTCAGGTAAATATATAATAAATAAAGCAACACTCTTTGACTGTTATCATTGGTTCGACTAGAAATGATGGAGAGCAGGGAGAGAGGGCCAGAGGGAACAGGCTGGACAAGTCACAAAAGAATGGAACAGGCTGACAGCTGCCTTGCCCCTTCTCAATGTGGATTTTTTTTTAAGCTGTCGCAGTATTTTCAATTTAGTAATTGCTGAGATCTTTCATTCTGACTAGACCTCCAAGCTGTGACCATGCTGTGTCACAATTACAGCCACTGGTCATGACCTTTGAAAACTGAGGATTCACAGTTCTTGGGCATTGTATGAAACATATAAACAGACTGAGAGACAGATTTAATAACTTAAAACAAGGTAACAAAAACCTGACTGGTGCTAAAAGAAAAATACTTTGCAGCATCCAACAGTCCTTTACATTTTGCATTTGCAAACAATAGACAACTTTGATTAGGGAATGTTTGATATCAGTGCAAAGAGGAGAGTTGAGATCATAAACTCACAATCACCGCAATCTCATCTTTTTGTTCATCTTTCAGATCTTTGTGCCACTCCAACATTTTATGCAGCCCATTTTCATACTGAAGTTTGGAGCAGGAAAAGATTCCACATGGTCCACTAACTCTGAAAGACAGAGCACTACCCTGTGTCATACCGGGAGGCCCCCAAATCGCAGCTTCTTTTTAACAGGCTTTAAATTCATCAGTCTCCTCAGGTCCTCATCACCTTCAGATTCATCCACCTCATCATCAGCTGAAATGAGAATCTGTAAACCAATTTAATGGTGAGAACTGGAAATTACAAGCAATATCTGCAGAATGAACATATTATTAAAAATCAGCTTTGTACATTTTCTACTTGTATTTCACAGAGTTTAATACATATTAAATAGCTTAAGAACATAAAGTAGGATCAGGATTAGGTGTATGGCCCCTCAACTCTGATCTACCTTCAATAAATATACAACTGATTTGATGTTGCCACCATTTTCCAACTAATCCTCATTATCCCTGATTTCCTTGGGTCCAGAAATCTTCCCATTCTTAACCCAAAATCTACTCAAAGCCTGAGTGCCTATAGACCCCTGGGATAGAAAATTCCAAAGATTCACAACCCTCAGAGACCAGCTGTCTCATTACAGTCCAAAATGGACATCCTCTTATCCTGAGACTGTGTCCCAGAGTTCTGGACGGTCTAGCCATATAGTCATACAGTACTGAAGATACTCGTCGGCCCATGAAATCAGCATTGACACAAAAAACCTATCAGCTATCTATACTAGTCCCACTTTCCAACACCTGGCCTGTAGCCTTGAATGTTACATCATTTCAAGTGCTCAGCCACTTTTTTTTAAATTATGAGGTTTGCTGCCTCAACTACCCTTCCAAGTAGTGCATTCCATATTCCCACCATCCTCTGGGTTAAAAATAATTTCCTCAAATACCCTTTACCTCAAAATTATGCCGCTCATTACTAACCCTTCACCTAAGGGGAACAACTGCTTCCTATCCAGCTGTCCTCAACTGAGCAGGACGAACAAGGCAAGGGGATACATGATGAGTGGTAGGACCCTGGGAAGCATCAAGGATCAGAGGGATCTTGGTGCGTATATATACCAGTCCTTTAAGGTATCAGGACAAGCAGATAAAGTGGTTAAGAAGGTATATGGTATTCTTGTCTTTATTAGCCAAGGCATATAGTTAAGAGCAGAGACGTTAGGCTGGAACTGTACAAGACGTTGGTTAAGCTACAGCTAGAGTATTATGTGCAGGGAGGGTGGACCGGAAGGAACTTTCCCCCTTGTTGGGGGATCAATGACTGGGGGACACAGATTTAAGGTAAGGGACAGGAGGTTTAGGAGATGTAAGGAAAATAGTTTCACCCAGAAAGAGGTGGGAATCTGGAACTCACTGCCTGTCATGGTGGTAGAGGCAGAAACCTTCACAATATTTAAGTATTTAGATTGCGTTTTCCATGTCAAAGGCATACAAGGCTAAGGGCTAAGTGCTAGAAAAAGAGATTAGAATAGTTAGGTATTCCCCCTCAATGGTGCAGATACAATGGGCCAAAGGGCGACTTTCTGTGCTGTAGATCTTCCTGACTCTATGACATGGGGAAAGCATCACAAGTTGGAGAGTGACACGCTCTGATATCTATGTGTGAAATTAGGCAGCAAACTTTTTCAGAGATTTACAAATCAATGGTATTGTACAAAAATAAGTTTCTGCCTTTCCCTTTAGGACCCTTTCCCTGGTCAGAAGCCAATGTCCCACATGGGAAGAACTCCAAAAGAATGTCCAATGAGCATCACCTGCTCTCAATCGACTCCAGGTCTATTTGAACCATAGAGTCACCGGAATTTTTAACTCTCTGACAATCCAGTGAGATTGGAGACCAGCACTTACCTCAGACTCAGACTCCTCGTGCGATGCTGCTCTTCTATATCTGACCTTGTTACTGCTTCTAGATTCGTCTTCTCCAACTTCTCCTTCCAGTTTAGCTTTAGTTTTACCTTTTCTCATTAGAAAATTATCTACTACCCAAAACATTAATGCCTGTGAGAAACGAAAAAGCAGAACATGGAGCAGAGTTAAGGAATAACATATGAACAGGAATGAGGTTAATTAGCCACTAGGGTGTTATCCCACTCAACTCAATCATGGCTGATCTGTGATCTAACTCGATACCCCTGCCTTTACCCCACAACTCTTCCCACCTTTGGTTAACAAAATCTATCATTTCAGTTTTAGAATTAACAATCAACCTCCAACAAGTAACTCATCTCCTGACTCCAATATGCCTGTACACTAAGTACACGGCACAAGTCAAGAGTGAGATGGAACACAGCTCACTGGCCTGGATGAGCACAGCTCCAACAACATTCAAAAGGGTTAACACAATCCAGTACAAAGTCTTGGTGTATACAACAGTATTTATATGTTCAGTTTCTGGTCAATGGCAGGATGTTGAAAGTGGGAGATTCAGCAATAACATAATACTGAAAGTCAAGGGTGATGGCTAGATTCTCTCTTGATGGAGATGACCATTGCCTGGTGTCTGTGTGGCACAAATACTACTTGTTACTCATCAGCCCAAATCTGATTGTTGTCTAAGTGTTGCTGCTTGCAAACATGGATACATGGTGACTGTAAAGACTACAAAATTTATTTTTCTTTAATTTGGATTGTGAACTAAAAAAGGAAAACAGCTGTTTTTACAACCCAGGACATCGGAAAGAGTTTTTGCACTTCTAAAAACAAGTTAGTGGGACTTATTGTGAGTTACGTTTACTCTGTCACTGTATTCAAGCAGTAGGGGAGGAGGTCTAAGGTCTGAAATGTTCAAAGTTAGTGTTGCCCAGCAATAGATTATCAATTGGTTTGTGTAATTAGGATTAGTTGGATGCCAGAAATCATCAGCATCTCAAAACTTAAGGCTGTTTATCTGAATGCACACAGTAATTCTGAAAAGATACATGGATTGATGGCACAAATAGGACTAAATGAATATGACTTGATAATTACTACAGAGTTGTGATTGCAGGGTGACCAGAAATGCGAACAATATTGTTATATCTCACTGGCATTGCGCAGTGGAAATCAAGCCCTGTTCTTGCTGAAGTCATCATAAAAGTTAAAGCTTGTCTAAATCTATTCAAGAACCTTAATGTTAAAGCTTTTTAAGAGTACCCAAAATTGGCCACTTTATCTGTATTTTAGACATATGTTGAAAGAAAGCATAGACCAGGTTTCTATACAAAACACAAATCGCTCTTTCTTACCAGCATTTAGAGTCTAGCTACTGATAAATGATTTGAACTGTCAACATATAACTCAACTAGTTAAAACTCTAATGCCCTTATGAATTCCCCCTTAAACACACAATTACACAGCCACAGACATGAATAAGAAAATTAATGGGTGTGACGGACGGAGGGAAAACTGCTTATTGGTGTCTATTCACAGGACCTGCTGAGATCGTTGCTGTGCTGATCAGACTGCTGCTTCTTGGTCTTCTTTCTCCAGATGCCTTCACAGTTTCCGTAAGGCACAGTGTGGATGGTTCAATGATAAAAAATGTCTCTGGCTTATTAATTAAAAATCAAAGCTACAGCAACTGCTAAAGGTTTTCTTTAAGTGGCTCTTGCTACGTTAAGTGACTCATAATGGCATTGTGGGTCAACCTACAACAGGTGGACTGCAGTGGTTCAAGAAAGCAGCTCACCACCACCTTCTCAAGGGCAACTAGGGATGGGCAAGAAATGCTGGCCCAGCCAGCGACACCCACACCCCACAAATGAATAAAAAAAGTAAGATGCAGGATAAGCTGCTCACTGAAGCAATGGGTATGGCAGATGTACTAAATGAATATTTTGCTTCTGAGTTTGCCAGATTAGAAGACGGTGACAGTAGCCCAATTAAAAACATAGGTGTTGAGCAGCTGAGCAGTATATTGATAGATAAAGAAGGGGTGCTAAAAAGGCTCGCAGAAGTCACCAGGTCCAGATGGGATGCATCCTAGATTTCTGAGAGTGTTAAGGCATCAAATCACAGACCCATTAACAGAAATTTTCCATGCCTTTCTGAACGCAGGATTAGTTCTAGGGGACTGGAGGATTGCAGATGTAACACTGTGTTTTAAGAAAGGGACAAAGGATAACTCAGGAAATTATGAACTGGTCAGCTTGATATCAATAGTGGGAAAACTGATGAAGGCCATAATACGGGATAAGGTAAATATTCTCTTAGAGAAAAATAAGTTAACACTAGACAGTCAACACGGCATTGCCAAGGGGAGGTCATGTCTGACAAATGTGATTGAGTTATTTGACGAGGTGACACAGGCAGTAGATGATGGTAGTAACTGTGGATGTTGGATATTTCAGAAAGCAATGACATGGTGCAACATGGCAGATTGGGTCCTTGGCAGCATGGATTTGAAGTTGACTAAAAGATAGTAAACAAAGGATCGGCAGAGATGGCTATTCCTCACATTGGAGACAAGTTGAAAATGGTGCTCCCAGGAATCACTGTTGGGACCCTTGGTTTTTCTAATTCATATAAATGATTTGGAAGGTAAAATCTCCAAATTTGTAGATGATACTAAGCTTAGGAGAATATTGAATTGTGAGAATGATATTGAGTGACTTCAGAGGGACACTGACAAGTTGGCCAAAAGAGCAGACACCTTGCAGATGAGTATCAAAGCTGAGAAATGTGAGATAATGCATTTTGTTAGAAAAAAACAGAGACACAATGCAGGCTTAATGGTACAACTTTGAGGGGAGTACAGCAGTAGAGGGACCTCGGGGTTCATGTGCACCATTCTCTGAAGGTGGCAAGTTGAAATAGTTGTTAAGAAGGCTTATAGGATCCTGTAGTTTATAAATAGAGACATAGAGAATAACACCAAGGAAGTGATGCCACACTTCTATAAATCATTGGTCAGACCACATTTGGAGTATTATGTTCAGTTCTGGGCACATTTTTTTCAGGAAGCATGTTAAAGCCCTGGAGAGAGTTTAAAGGTGATTTACTAGAATGATAGAAGGAATGAGGGACTGTATATACAAGGAAAGATTAGAGAGATTGGGTTTATTCTCTTTAGCAGAAATGATTAAGAGGTAACCTTATTGAAGTGTTCAAAATTATGCACAATTTTGACACAGTAAAGAAGGATATTCTGTTTCCACTAGTTGGTATCTCAGTAACTAGGAGTCACAACTTCAAGACTGACTGCGAAAGACCTAGGTGTGAAATTTCTTTACTCTGATAGTTGTTAAAATTTGGAATGTGCTACCTGGGAGAGTGGTGGAGGTGGATTCCATAATAAGTTACAAAACAGAGCTGGATATATATTTGAAAGTGATGAAGTTACAGGGCTATGGAGATAGGACTGGAGAGTGGGATTATCAGGGTAGCTCTTTCGGGTGACGGTTCGGACACAATGTGTCAAATGGTGTCTTTCTGTCCTATAAAATTCAATGAAATCGGTCAAGATAGAGGGGAATGTAAAACAGGTGGGGAAGTAGTGATAAAGGAGAATATCACAGCTGTACTGAAGGAAGACACCTTGGAGGGCTCATGCAGCAAGGCCATATGGGTAGAGCTCAGGAATAGGAAGGGTGCAATCACTTTGATGCGGTTGGACTACAGGTCTCACAGCAGCCAGCAGGAGATAGAGAATCAAATACGCAGACAAATTATAAAGGAATGTAAAAACAACAGGGTTGCTAGGTGGTGATTTTAACTTCCCCTACATTGACTAAGACTCCCTTAGTGCCAGGGGCTTCGATGGGGTTTTGGGGGGGACGTGGGAAAGCAGGGTCTTAGATGTGTCCAGGAGGGATTCTTGAAGTGATACGTAAATGGTCCAAAAACAAAGTTGCTGCAAAAGCTCAGCAGGTCTGGCAGCATCTGTGAAGGAGAAAACAGAGTTAACGTTTCGGGTCCAGTGACCCTTCCTCAGAAATGGTCCAACTGCGGAAGGGGCCGTACTAGACCTGGTATAGGGGAATAAGCCTGGTCAAGTGGTCAAAGTTTCAGTGGGGAAGCATTTCGGGAACAGTGACCATAATTCTGTAAGTTTTAAGTTACTTGTGGATAAAGATAAGAGTAGTCCTTGGGTGAAAATAGTAAAATGGGGGAAGGCTAACCACAACAGTATTAGGCAGGATCTAGGGAATGTAAATTGGCTGTTTGAGGGTAGATCCATAATATGTCATGCAGGAATCTTTTAAAGGCCAGCTGATTAGAGTTCAGGACCAACATGTTCCTGTGAAAATGAAGGATAAGGACAGCAAGATTTGAGAACTTTAGATGACAAGAGAAATTGTGAGCTTTATCAAAAAGAAAAAGGAGACACACATAAAGTTTAGGAAACTGAAAACAGATACAGCTCTCGAAGAATATAAATAAAGCAGGAAAGAGCTTAAAGGAATTAGGAGGGCTAAAATGGGTCATGAAATTTCTTTAGCCAACTGAAGTAAGGATAATCCCCAAGGTATTTTATATGTATAAGGAACAAGAAGATTTGTAGGGAAAGGGTTGGTCCACTCAAAGACAAAACGGAATTTATGCAAGGAGCCGGAGGAATGGGGTGATGTCCTCAATGAATACTATGCATCGGTATACACAAAGGAGAAGGACGTAGTGGATGGTGAGTCTAGGTACGTAGATATTCTACAGCAAGTTAATATTAAAAAAGAAGTGGCATTGGGTGTTTTGAAAATCATTAAGGTAGACAAATCTCCAGGACTTGATGGGATCTATCCCAGAATACTGAGGGAGATGAGAGAGGAAACTGCTGGGGCCATGTACTAAATCTTTGTATCCTTTTTTAGTCACAGTAAAGGTCACAGAATGGGAGAATAGCCAAAGTTGTTCCTTTGTTTAAAAAAGGGCACAGGCATTATCCAGGAAATTACAGATCCTTACCCACCAGTGACAGGGAAATTATTGGAGAAGATTCTTGGAGACAGGATTTACTCACATTTGGTAAAATATAGATTTATTAGCAATAGGCAGCATGAATTTGTGCGGGGGAGATCGTGTCT